TGCTCTGTTCTTGATACACTGTGAGGTTTCCAGAGTAAACAAAAATCCCAACACTCTTAAGAATGAGAAAAAAACCTAAGGACAAAAGTACCTAATTCCTTTCACTCAGGAGCAACAAATTAAACTGCTTTACTATGATGTGCAATGTTTAGTGATTGTTTTATTAAATGCAGAAATACCTGCTCAACTTCATACCCATTCTGATTTAAAGTGCAACAATTAAATCTGATAGTTCTTGTACATCCATATTTTGCAAGTGTTGTTCCTTGAATACATGTTGTTCCGATTATGCCTTGCATTTGTAAAATGTAATTTTTTTAGTACCGTTTTGCTTTATTAACTAAAATAAACTGTACAAAAAGCTGTAGAGTTACATTAGCTTTGAACAATGTAGAATACACGTTCTCTGCCAAACGTTAGTGTGCAAACATTGTACATTTTTTAAAGTGACAAAATTAAGCCAACCTTGAAGTCAGAGTTCATTACTACATTACAAAACAGGAGACTAGATATGGCAAAAGAAATTTCCCGCTGAAATCAACACCATTGTATAATTTTATTTCTAATTCTTAAAAAAATATAAATGAATTTAGAAGAGAATCACAGTATAAGGGCCCTAACATATTACACCATTACAAGGTACATAAAAATAGAAGACACAGATTTCTTTGAAACTTTAATCCTTTGATTAAGCAGCAAGCATATCACTCTCCAGGCAAACACTGCTTAAAACAAACCCTACCCCCCAAAACAGGACGTGCAAACTGTATGCACATATTCTGCAAAGCACACAATAAAGACATTTTGCTATGTACATACTTATTTAGTACTACAAATGCTAGGAGTTCCCTACTGTGTGCTACAGTGTAGGCAAATTAAGAAATACTACCCTACCTATCTCTGACCCTCCCTCCCCCCTTCAAATACAGCACCTTTGCCCAGTTATAGAATATTTAAACAAGATTAAATGGAATTACAATGTACTGAACAGTTTCATAGCAGTTGGTGGTGGCCAACTGTACTGTAACACCCAACATTCTGCATACTGAAGTCTATCGACAAGAGACAAGACAAAAATTAGCAGATGTACAATACACACACCTGGGAGACTCAATGCTTGAAAGTAAAAAACAAACAAACAAACAATCAATGCTTGAAAGTAAAAAACAAACAAACAAACAAACAACAACCCCCCCCAAAAAAAAACCAAACAAAAAAACCCCAAAACTCTGAAGACGAATCTTCGCGCTGTTAACAATTACACTGTAAAAATGTACCATCTTGGTTTTGTATTGGTTTTAAAGACCAGAGAGCAGCCAGATTTGTGTAGTAGCTGGTAAGGGCACACTAAAGACTTGTGACGTCCAGAACACAAGTTTCCATGACCAAGAATTCCTTGGTGCTTGTTTTAAAATTCTGCTTTACTTAGACTGGGAGTCATTTGATGCTCACATAGTGGCTAAGCACCTACTCTGATGCGAAAGAAAATTTGTAAAAAAGACCTTTTGTACGACAACTCAGCACACCCGTGAAAGCTCTTCAGAAAGAAAAAACTCTGAAGTTTGAGCTGAGAATATTTTAAAATGAAGAACTAAAACATAAAGGTCAACATTTTAACTGCAATCCAGGTTACAACTATCAACCTTTAACACTAGATTTTCAAATGAAATAGAATCTGATTGTACAAGAACTTCCCTTTGCACATAAAAAAAGGACCTGGTAAACTGATCATTAGACCACCCAATTTATCTGTGGGAAAAAAACCAGCTAGGGATAGCGCATCCCATTTGCATAAAAAGTCTCATTTTAGTAAAGGGCAGAACTAGTTAATAACAAAATGGAGTTAAAAAGACTTTTAGACACCATTTCAGCTAAAAGCAAAAAAACCTTTCCAAATAGTATGACACTCAACATGAATATTATTACATAATCAAGAACATATTATTTTTCAATAGCTTAATTCAGACCACACAGTTTCAAACAGTGCTACTCATATTTGGAGCCTGGTTTATTTACTTGGAGGTTAGAGGCACCTGCTTTTGCAAAAAAACAAAACAAAACAAAACAACCCCACACCCCAAAAACACTGCTGGGCATCAGTCAAGGCTTCAGATGAGAATGCAGTAAAATGAGTTTCTTTCAAACTCCTATAATTTGGAAGCAATATTAATATCTAAATGCAGATTTTACTGAGTCAATAATAAAAACAAACACCCTCATCCTTCCCCCTCAACTCATGTAATCAACTTTACCAGAAATATAGCAGGAGTCAAGAGGCAATCTTAAGACTGGGTTGGCAGCAGGTAACTACTCTCATGATACTCTACCAATACCACCAGCCTCTACACTTCCCTCATTAATGCTCAAGCAAGGTATCAGTGATCTAGTATACATGAATTGCAGTCATTCTCAGAGGAATGGAATTTTACTGTGCTTCCATTAGAAGAATTAGTGGAATAACAAATTAAATTAATGCTTCTTGCTAGATGGTTCCGCTCCTGTCATTGCCCTGAGTGGGCTGCCCCTCTATCCTGCCCAGCCCTCAAGACAGCGCTGCAGCAAGAAACTGGACTCCTGCTTCCAGTTAAATTCCATGAGTAGAACACACATGAGATTTAATAAATTTGGTACAGCAGCTCACTGAGTCTTCAGAATACTCTGAAAGAGGAGCACTTAATAAGCCAGTACCTTTTAAAACAAGCTAAGATGTTCTGGGGAAAACATGAAGAGAGGACCTACATTTAACAAGTGTGTGAAATGATTCTACTGTTATCTAAACAGGGCCAAACATTCTGAACCTAAAGCCATTATTTTCTTTCACTAAAAGGTAAAAAAAAAAAATTTAAAATTCACACACACAAAAAAGCTCAACACTACATTTAAGTCTCCTACAATGTCATCTATTTCTAGATTTGCCAGACCACCTTCCTGTAATTAGACGCTTGACTATAAAGAACTGTAATAAAATAAATAGAGTAAAAATCAGTTAAACAAAATCTTGGTGTGTTGAACATTTATTCATTTAAGAAGTTACTTCCTTCAACAGTTATTCATACAGAGGAGGGTTGCAGTGTAGGCATTACTCTGCTGTACAAGTCTTCGGCATAAAAATATTTTTATACAGGTGGTCATTGACGTCATTCCATTTTCTAGTTCTTAGCTTGCTCCTCCGGAAAACTGGTCTGATACCTGTGAAGGCATGCTCTTTTCTCCCCTTCATTATTTGGAAAAAAAAAGTACATTGGTACATTTTTTCAAATGTGGGAGTTAGCATAATTCTGCTTTTATTTCTTCAGTGCAGAGTGGACTGAGATTCTGTCTGAATTCCGATGAGCGAGGGTGGCTGCTGGCCACTGCCCGCGGTCAGCACGGGCCGGGGGTTGAGACGAGGAGGCATGGAATTAGCTGGGCGGATGAGCGGGGGGGGAGGCTGGTTTAGGGTCGGCCGCGGCTGAATGAAGCGCGCCTGCTGCTGGAGCGGCGGAGGCTGGCGGTGCAGAGCAGGAGCAGCGGGAAGTGCTGGACGAAGTAACGGGGGCGGCTGATTTAAAGTTGCCATGGGAGTGGCAGGTGCTGGAGCAGATGCCTGTGCTGGAGGTGAAGGGCCTAAACACTGAGTGGCCGGAGTGCTTTGTGCCTGCACAAAGGACAAAGACAAGACTGCGTGAACAGCCATCCCGGCCAGGACGTGACGCAGTTGGGCTGCCACTGGCCACTACACAGGAAACAGCATTTAAAAATATAAAACCAAAGAACTGAGAAGTTACTGAAAAGAAATCACCAACCAAAAACATTATAGACAGCAGAACTAAAAATATTTATGAAGCAAGTCTTCTTCTAGAACAAGAAGTGTATTTTAACACTAAAACAGTAACGTGATCGTCATTATCAAAGGTGCAGTCCTGCTCCCAGCTGGTTAACGACATTGGCTGAAGTTCTATGCAAGCTCATCATCATTCTTTAGAATGCGGTTTGCCACTCCACACCAGTTAACCTTATATTTTATCACTACATAAAATGCTGTTCCTCAACCCATGCTTACTTATTTCTGGTACACAAAACACACCTCATCTTCTTCATCAGTGCTCTTTCCTGATGGCACATTAGAAGTATTTTTTGTGTCCTCCCCTAAAGCAGAAGCATCACCATTAGAAGCCAGGGTTCCTTGTTCCGCTTCCCATTCCTGCAATACCTCCTCTAAGTTAAACCGACGCCTGTAGTTTACAAAGAAGTTCTTCACTTGGCCAACAGTCTTGTTGCCAATTACATCTGCAATAGCTTGAAAATCTTTACCATATTTTCGGACACCTGGAAGGCAAAGTAAATAACATAGCTGTGAAGAATCAGTCAGACACAGCTACGTGTGATGTATTTATAGAGAGAACCTATGGGACCTGCAAACCGAGGACTCGCTAATTAGGAGAACTTCTCAATTAGGCCTCCATTTCCATTAAAACAAAGTAATTTTTAATAGCACAGCTATCAACATACAAATCAAGAACTTTATTAAAAAGTCATTACCCATTTTTAAAAGATCCTGGCTTACTCACCGACCCTCTCAACCTCAAACCACAGAGATCTGGCCTCTGACAAACACAGTGAATCTTTCAGCGTGTTCACAAAAAGGGCAGAAGCCCAAGACCAGCTCAAGAGGGGAGGAAGGGTGACTGAGCATGTGTGAATGGCTGTAAACAGAATAAAATTCTAGAAATATCAAGTGACAAACACTGATAGCTCCTACAGGTTCCCTCCACACCAGCTGCATGCAGATGGTTCTTTCCCACAGCCAGTGGGGTAGGAGTGGCAGAGGGCAGAACAGGAGGCCAGAGTTCAGCAGTATCACAATATACTTCTCATTCCTGCACTTGTGACATGCTCTACTCAGGCTACACAGGGCAACTGGCAAATTTGATTAAATCCCCTTCTGATAAGCAGCATGACAGGTGATCTTTGCATTGTTCTTTTCATTAATTTTTGTACTGACATCAGTAGTCACTTTTGTTTATGAGCACTTCAAGAGAAAATCCCAACACATATTTTAAATACTTCTAAAATTATATTTACATATAACAAAAAAACCTGAGTGCAACATTCCATAGTTTTTAACTTAAAATTTGAATTATAATAAAAAGTATATTGAGTCTGTTATATTTAGGGTATGATTTCTCCTGCTTAAGGAAAAAAAATCCTCAACCTCTCCCACCTCCTAGAACACAGCTTTTAGCTACACAAAGTATATTTTTAATTACAAGTGTCAAAAAGCTTGGAGACTTGAAGAAATAAACCAATTTTGTTCCAGAGTGAGTAAACAGAACTGTTTTTTTTTTTCCTGTCAGTTATGCATGAGCAAGTTACAATTTGACTTCTTCTGTGAAGCTCCTGATAGTTAAACTCATTTGGAACATATTACAGTTCTTAGAGGACAGGCACTCTTTCTCATTACAGGAAAAGAAATTTATGCCTGATTTCATGCCTCACTTCAGAAAATGAAGCAAAGTGTTCAGAAAGAGAGTTGTTTCAAACTGAAAGCTATGTTCCTTTTCAACTTAATTGTGAAGAGTGTGACCTTCAGTTTGTTCTGCTCCTCTCCTTTCTACTTTCCTCCTTATTAGGCGCTTCTGATGTGGTAATGCACGCTCCCTGCAATTTAAAAGAAAAGTTCACCTCCAGGATAGTAACAAATTCTGTAGCTGAAGCTGATGTTTCAGCTGTCAAGAGCCCAGCTACATTATTTAGTGTCTTTTTCTGGGGCGTACAAAAGAATACAACCCTTTGGATTACAGGGACCTTGGAAAGATTTCAGAGCCACGTGGGAGGGCATGGATCCAGGCAAAGCAAAGACAAGGCTTTGGCTCTGTGCTTTATCAGCTGTACAAGGTATCAGCTATACTCCTTAAAAGCTGTGTGTACCCACGAACATTGCCTCCAGTTTTTAATATTCTTTGTCTGCCCTACCATTGCCACCCTTAATGACTTATAATGAACATGAAATGTCCATTGTAATATATCGAAACATCTGGTACAGTTAATCAAGTGAACAAGGCGCCCAGCAGAACAAAGCACATTTCTGTTAGAAAACTAATATAGACTTTTAGTGGTTTCAGCCTTTTCTGTTACTATGCTGGCTACACTTCTCTCCTCCCTTAATCTGCAAAACAATTGAGCCTGCTGGTTATCTTCAACTCAGGTTGTCAAAAAAAGGTCTTAAAGCCTATTTCCAAGCAAACAGCTTGAAAACAAGGTGTTCTTGCCTTCACTGAGAACCCAACTCTTAAAAAATAAATCTAAATAAAATAAAATTTCCTTAATTTAGCTACACACAGCACTACTCATTTTGGACTATTTTCAATGTTATTACTACCACTCTATCACAATGACATATTAAAAGCCTTTCAAGCCATGTAAGAAATAAGAGAAAATTCACTGTGTCTTTATGAAACTTTAATGTATAAGGTGATGGCATATCTCTAAGAGCTGTTGCCAAGCCACAATCCCTGTCAAACTGGTGCACATTACTTAGGCATCCTTATACAAATTCAGTGCTAAACACCCCCAACTTATTTCTCACCTGTTCAATCCCTAGTCAATAAAAATAATTTCATTGAGCTGATGAAGGTGAAGCTCAAAAAGGGTGACTGCACAGCCTCACTTCACATGTATGAATGGTTTTCTCCCAGCTCATTTGAAAGCAGCCCAGCTCACAGGAATCCTTCAAGCTCTTCAGAACTTCACTCAGCTGCAAAGGTACACTGGAACACGTGCATGCTCTTGATTACAGCATTTCATCTCAAATGGCTCTCTTGGAGAAACTCATAAATGCAACTTTGATGCTGCTTAATGTTATACAGCACAGCAAACACAATATTAATCAGGGTGCAAAGCAATATGATACAGCATCACAACGAGGCAGAAATAGTTAATGGGAGCTGCAGTTCCACTGTGATTGGATTACAGTGCTCCTGGCAACTATCTTATGTAGAGTTAGATTCTGATTTTCCCAGCTGTTTTTCCCTGCAATGCCATGAAAGTCATGTGCTACTCTTCAATACAAATTTTGTTGTCTTGAACAAATGTTAAAACATTTTTGCAATTACATTTTCAAGGCCAAGATGTTAGTTTGAAAATATGACTGTGTTTATACATTTCTGTACATAAAAGTTTGTAATTTAAGAACACTAACTGATGAACTAGTCCATTACATTCAAAAACTATTCAAAGCTGCACTGTTACTTGATAAATTATACTGCAAATATATTGGCTCAGAGATCATAAATCTGAGTCCACAACCCCATTGCAAGCACACAGACTGCTTTTAAGATTACACACAGCTCTATTTTAAGACAAAATTTCTCATTACCTCTTCCATAGTTACTGGCAATCCCTTGAGATTAGCCTACAGATAACAAGTTTTTTCATGTTTACTAAAAACAGGACCAAAATTACATTACTGCAGATTATATTTATAATTTCCATGGTTAGATTTATTGTTCAAATTCAAGTGAACAAATCATGTGCCACCTACCTGTTTAATGTTTATGATTTCTGTAAAATTATTACAAGCATACACCAAAATATACCAACACATTTAATAAAATAATTCCATTTTAAAGTGTACAAACTAAATGTCCCAATGTTCAAGTCAACTTGCAAGTCCATGCCTAATGCACATTATAGAAGCTTTTAGTAGAGCAACTGTGGATACCTTCTAAAAACAGTCAGGAAAAACACTAAAAACAGTCAGGAATGGCTCCCTCATGCCTAGAGTCTACTACCTCAAGCAATTGCTTTGAAGCAAGAAATCAGGGTCCTTAGCCTGAGGGATTGGAGGTTAGTATCTACAGCACTCTCATTCCAGGAGGGAGAGCAAGCAGTAAGTAAGAGAGGAATAATTAGAACACTTTGTTCTTGTCATTAGGGTTCTCTCTCATCTCCATTTTATATAGTGCCAAGGAAAGGGGACCACAGAGGGAACAATACATATCAACACATGTCAATGAAGAGATTTCTTCTAGAAGGCCTGATTTCTCACCCCACCCTTAAGGCTGTCTACCTTTATAAAACATAGGAACCATCCCTAGAGACCAGAAGACTAGATTTCCTCTCCAAGGAGTCACCACCAACCCTCACTCTCTTTTGCTCAGGCTCTAGTTTATTTGTCTTGTCAGAGTGCCATAGCTTAATGAAAACTGAATGTATTCTTACCACTTCCCAAACTGTTGCTTAGTGAGAACTCCAATAACTAAACTATGAAAAGGCAAGATGGTTTGAATCCTTTCATTCTAAGGCAGGCACAATGACTCTGGATTTTCCCCACTCTTCCAGCAAGCCTTCTACTTACTAGACTACCATATCAGAGAGGCATCTCCTTCAGTTGCATCTGGGAACAAAATACTGAGGTATTTAGCAATAGTGAGAGAATGAACATAGGACAGAGGACAGTTTGGAGATGCAAATCCAAGCCTGAGGCATGTAAGTTGAAAGGCATGATTTAAGACACACCGTGTCTTTCTGCATTTCCAACCATACTTCAAAATAACCTAGCTTTAGGTTCAGTCATCTGACTAATAAGTAAGTTCCAGATATGGCATACCAATCAACTGTACACTGATATCCTGATCCACTGAATGTTTTATACTAAAACTCAGCATCTCATTTTCAAGGTGAAGAATACAGAGGAATAAAGCAGATAGATATAACTGAGCTATTATCTTTTTAAAAGATGATCCACATAAGTGAGTCAATATATGCCTTCAAGACAGTATCTCCAGACATTTCCTGTCCATGTTCCATGGTTTGGCAGTGCATGCTAATACAAGAGTCAGTTTTCTTTCATATAAATTAAATAAGTGCAAGTTAGCTGTATGAATAGCCTGCCAGAAGATGCTGGGTTTTTAGCCCAGTAAGACTGATAGTCAAGCATCCATATCTAGCTTCAGACTGTCAAAAGGCCTAATGGGTCTAAAGGCCATTATTCTCTCATGAACAGAGAAAAGCAATGGCAAAGCAGATTTACTTCTGATTTTTCCTACTTTAGAATACTAGAGATGTCTTAAATGCTTCATATTTTATTACTTTAACTATTGCTCTAGTCTTCCACATTAGAGAAATTCATGTAAAGTGATTTAGCAGATGATTGAAGAGACTTTCTGGTACTAATACAGTTGTTAAATCCTGCTTAGCTTTTCTCTTTGAAATTTAATATGGGTAACAGAAAGCCTAGTGTCACATCGTTTGAATAAATGCCTTAAATATTCTCAACAGTTTTCCTGCTTTCTTGGTGACCAGATAAAGTTTAGCTTTGCATTAGAGGGAAATACAAATATAAGCCTAAGCAACTCTTCAAATCCTTTACATCAGATTTCAACTTGCTGCCACTATTAACATACCTTGTACTGCAAGAAGCTGCTCTTCTGTGGTCCAACGGGCATTGATTTTCTGATTAGACTAGTAAAATTAGAAAAAAGGCACAAAGATCATTAAATTGTTTCAACAGCTGCAAAATATCTGAGCATCAATGTGTTTTACTTGCACTACATCTTGCAAAATAGGTAAAAACCTCTTCCCTATAAACCATAAATTTGTAGCTCAAGATTGTTTTCATGCAGAGGAAATAGTGTTTACGGATTGGAGCATAAAACTATGCCAGCAGTTTTTCCTCTGTTTTATTGCAGTTTTTAGCATCAACTGTATAATAACTTATGCACAAACTAATGATCTTTATGCAGACAGAATTTCAACTTATAGTAACATTTATCTAAACTATTTGGACTTGGTGTTTAGAGGATTTTGCATTCATATTTTGTTTCATATCCAAACCTTTAAAACAAGCAAAAACAGAACTTCAGTAGTAATAGGTCATTAATTTTAGATGCCAAAGGGTATATATAGTCATGTTTTCACATAGAACACCATTTATTACTGGCAATCTACATTACCTATTTTTAATCCAAAAAGCCCCCATGTATCATGGCCCAATTTCAGCTTCCTATTATTGTCAACAGATACGACATTTCAGTCTTTTCTGCTTCTTTTTTCCACCAGGAGCCACAAAAAAAAAGCCAACCACCAATTTCTTTTAAAGAATCCAGACTCCCTACTACATGTAATTTAATGGATCCTTTTTAAGCTGCTGCTGCTGAAGCAAAACACATTTCTGCAGCTTCCTACCAATGTAAGTGCAAGGCCACAACTTTCAGTATTTATTTTGATTTACCTCAGGAGGTTTGAATTCTTCAATCCCGCCTTCCATTTTCTGTTTAAGTGCACTGTTTACTTGCTTAGCATTTTGAACCTTGGTCAAAAACAACAAAGTTAATCAGCTCCACAAAGAAAGTTGGTCACTTTACACATTTATCTTCACTAGGATTGCCACAAGTGTACCTCCTAAGTTAGAAAGAGAAATATTATGGTTTAAGGCTTCACTACTTTTAACTGTTTCAAAAAAATTTAAAAAAACCAAAACAAAACACATCACAGTTTACTATGGAGAAAAAAAATTAAGCCAGTCTTTCAAAAGAACAGTTTGTCTGAAAGAATATTAAAAGCTGCTTATAACAAGTAATTTTTATAAGGATGCATAGGTTCTTGAAGAATTAAGAATACCCTAGACACACAACTTCATTCTTAGAGATGTGAGATGTATTGCATATATTAATTCATTAACTTCTTCCTTCTAAAAAAAACAAATTCATGAGATGTTTCCAGTTAGTTCCTTCTGACAGATGCTTTTTATTGACCAGAGATCATTCTGATGTTCTTTAGGGGGAATTATTAAAAAGATTTTAAATATTCCTTAGTTTATAAAAAGGATAAACCTTCAAAATTGTACATATACATGTCTATGAACCACTTAAATCTGACATTGATGCACATAAAGTAACAGGTAAGAAAATAGTTTTGCATACTATGGTGCACAGCTATTACAAGGGTTCTTAAGTATGGACACAAAAGCAGACAACTCAGTGGGAGATTCCAAAGGCTGCATCCCTGCAAGAAAAAAAAAAAAAAAAAAAGAGAAACACAACCTCAAGGCTGTAACTCACCTACACTTAGACTAAAGAGTGAAACCCACCTATGCTATTTAGCCCCAGACTCCTGCTGTGACAGAAAGAAGCTTATTTCTCCTGTAAAAGAACATAAGGGAGCAAAAACCCCATGAAAAAATTCTTTGTTCACTCCATGATTTTGCCACATGGCAGCTCTATAAGGAGGCAAAAATTCCAGAAGATAAGCCTTGACTCTGCAGCCCCATCGCTCCTAGAAAGCAAGCATGCACATAACTACTTAGAAGCTGAATAATTACATGTTTCAACTTTAAATGCCAAAATTTAATTTCTTCATGCAAAGGACGCAGGTAATTTTCCTCTTAAAAGTGGAGACTAAAAAGCTTTTCTAAATTTAATAAGAAGTAGAAAATGTATCAATTCAAACAGAGAAATAACTAGGTCCATGATTTCCACAAGCCTCCCATACTTTCACACTATGCGGGAAAGGACATCCAGGAAACCAGCTACAATTTAAACCATAATAAATGTAACTTCCTCTGCTCCATTGGTCTCATTTTCACTTTTCAAACAAACACTTCTAAGAAATTAAAAAAAGCTTCAAATCAAATGTGACTTTTGATTTTTTCTGTCCCCAAATCTGTAGCACTATTTTAATGCTACCCTTTTTTTCATAAGTAAAAAGTCATCTTGCTTCATTTTATCCAAAAGAGCAGATGAATGTAAAAAACCAAAAACTGAAGAACAGCTACTGTCCAGCATTTGTGGTGATAACTGTGGAACAAAATGAGGAAGACTCACATTAAAGAAGTTTCAGAATCTTCACAGATAATCTTCAAAACCATTACAATCAGAACAATCTGAGATGAAATAAAAAAAAAACCAAGACTAATAACCCATGGTACCTGTCGCTTTAACGAGATTAGTTCCATATCCAGCTGTCTAAGAATTGTGTTGGCTGCATTGGGACTACAGGAAACAGCTATCACATCTTCCTGGGTCAGGTACATGCCTTTTGGTGGACGGCATTTGGAACGCTGGGAATGGTGGCGATGCTGCAAGCTCTGATACTCTCTTCTACCCAGACCTATTTTGCTGGTCTGAACAGGCTGATCATTATTGCCCTTTAATTTACAAGAAATAAATCATTAAAGAATAACAGTATCTTGTGTACAACTTTACTAAAAATAATGAAGTATCAGATAGCATTGTAATGTCATATTTATGACAAAACTTAAGCTAACATCCTCCTTTACACATAGTATCCAACTATGTCTCGCAGATGAGTTGATGGAACATGCCAGTCATCTGCTGGATAAGCCTGCATTAGTCTAAGAAAGCTGAGTTTTCAAAACTTTTTTTTAACACAGCCACAAATACCGTAAATTTTATGGAAATCCCAGTCTGAACATTGTGAAAGAAGATACATAATATACATGTATGTATCTTGTTTTTAAAACAAATAATCAGTGACTACACATTTCTGATCAGATATGAAGAATTTGGGTAAAGATTAAAGGAGTAGAATTGTAAAGTCAACCAGGCCAGGCAAGAATGCAAAATGACATTTCTCCCTGATGTCAGCACTCTACAGTGTTTGGGGGGGACAGGGAGGGGCTGACTTGAGACTTGGAAGAGAAAGTATGGACATGCCCCTGCAGTCATAGCATGAGCCTTTGTTATTTGCTTCTTTGGAAAGGAAAGGAATGGCAAAGAGGAAATGAAGTCTTTGTTTTGATATGTTGGACACCTAAACATTTCAGCTTTGTCTTCAGTTGGGATTGCTGCATAACTTCTCTACATGTATATGACTCGCTCAGAGCAACTGAGTAGCTTCCCTATAGCCCAGGAGCAGAGATACAAAAATTACTTTCTCTGCAAGGGTTTTCTAATTCAAAGCAATGCTTAGTACTAGAACAGAAAGAATTCAGTCTTTTCCCTACTTCAAGCAGCTCCCTACTGCTCCTCCCTGCTGGCATCCATGCCTGTTTAAGAGGAGGTGGTCATCTGATTACAGTGACTGCAAAACCAAATGCAGCAGCCATTATTAATATTATCATTATTATTATTTTCTGTAGTAGTAGTACAGAGCAGCAAACAGAGTCTTGTTTTAGTACACTTGACCTTGTGCCACATTCTCTTCCCCAGGTAATACAACATCTTATCCAGCTCACAGACTTCATAGAGGCCACTTAAGATATCTGTTCTTCCTTGGAAAAATGATGTAGAGCCTTACAGTTTTGACATTTAAAAATTTCAAGGTTAAGTTTACTTCTGCCCTGCTTATACTTATTTGGGTTTTGGTTCTGCATTGCTCTTTTGGTATGAAATTGAAGTTCCTGTGTGTTCAATCTGGATTTAAAGTGAAAATAGTCTCTCTCAATTTTTTCTTGCCAAGATACAGAGTTTAGGTTATATTTGTTTTATCTGGTAACAGAAAGTTTCCATTGCTCTGTGTGTTCAAGCAGCCTACTCAGTTTATATTTTGCTTAGGAAGTGAAAGTACGCAAATCCTTCCAGAACTATTAGATGACAAAATTATCTTGTGCAGATCCAAATAGCTCATCAGAAACTACAAACCTATTTGTCCTGTTCCTAGAAGTCTATCAATAAACTATTTCTGGACTGTATGTCATGCTTCAAACTATAACCAAGTAAATTGAGCAAAATAGCCCCTATTTAGACACAGCTAAGGCCAGTCATTAGATTGCAGGGACATTGTTAGCACAACATAAAAGTAAAAAGGTACATTATCAGGCCACATGACATTTCAAGTACTACAAAACATCCCCATGTTAAAAAAGCAATCTCAAACTCTTTCATTGAAAGGGATAATTTTCCTTTTTTTTCTCCAAGGCCAGTAGATAAAGGGATACATTGAAGGTCACTGCAAAGCTCAGAACAGAAGCTAAGCTTATTGGTCTCTTACTCAGTATTATTTCTGTGAAAAGTGCATAGTTTTATTCATAATCCTAGATACCGCTTCATGGGAGTGCTGAAGTTTTGTATAACCTCTCCTCTCACTCTTGAGAAGCATGAACTGGCTGATTTAGGAAGATCACAAATGCTTAAAGTTGATCCAAGAAACGAACACACACTTTATTGTGTTTTTCTTGTCTTGTTCATAGGTAGCTTAATGTTTACAACAAGAACTCAAAAAATGCCTAAAACCTGAACATACCCTCAACACAGCAGTCATTGGTAAAGCTAAGTGCTCAATTAGGACAAAAATGTTTTTCCTCTACACTTATTAGCAGAAAGCATCTCAATAAAACCACATATTAGTTAAAATGCATCAACTCAATGTGGCTTTGAACATGCAACAAAAGTTGTTCTTTGAAAAATGTAATTTAATTTTAAAATTCAAAGAAAACACTTTGATTCAAATAATTCACAACCAGTAAAACTGTAAACATACTAATAAGACTGAAGGAGGGCAAATACAAGCTGTTTTATCAGGTTGTGAGAGGATACATCTCTTACAAAAACTGAAGATCTCTCAGGACACAGTGGAGGTAATGAGACATTTCTGCATTTCTGGCATTTACAGCCAGAAAACGGCAAAAATATAGAATACAATTTTGTTTCAATGAGAAGTCATCAAGACCCTGACTATTTAAATGCCCTGGGAGTTCAGCACGGTGACATCTAAACCTCCATACTACAACTCACTCTTCACAGTAACACATTCACTGAAAACAAACAAACTGACATTCACCATTAAGTTATCTGTTACCTCCTTTTTGGCTTCTTTTTTGGGATCATAATCGCTATCATTTCCATCCATTGGATGAGCTTCTTCTACATCATCATCGCTAAAGACAGATTATAAAAAAAGCTTGTCACTATTTTACTTTTTAAACCCAAATATAAGTATGTACCAGGATAAGAGAGTTTATCTACTTGAATTTACCTATTCTGAGTATATGGCATCTCAAAATTATTTGTAGTTTTCGAAAGATGGCTGTTACAAGCATGATTTCCTATATTAAATTCCAGTAATTATTAGGATAAACAAGCAATCCTAAACCATAGTTTCAAAGTTACTTTAAGCAATGCTGGTACTGCTGCCAAGAATTTTGGTATCACCTTTTTTCCAGTCAACCACTTGTGCCAGTGTGAACACTTATGTGGCCAACTATATACCAAGGCTAGAAATAACCTTCCATTTGCCCCATTAGTTTTAATAGAGCAATTTTCAAACCACTACAACAGGTGAATAAACCCTTGCTGAAATCTGTGGGGAGCATAGGACATATGATGGGAAACACGGGACTGCTTTTTCACCAACGTGCTTAAAATCTAGCAGTTTAGGGGAGGGAAATGAAATCTACTGAGTTAAATCAAAGAAAAAAGATTAAAAAGAGAACAGTCAATTCAGAGCCTAATCCAGTCATTCTGAAAATATAATTTCTGAATAAATTAATGCAAGAACAAACTTTCTAGTTTTTACCAAACCCCTCCAAACTGCTATATTAAAAGCAAACTAACTTTAGCTTGTAATTTTTCAGCAATAGAATCACTAAATAAGCACATGAACTTTAGATAAGTTATTGAAAATAACATATAATTAAAAAGACACCTTTTGCCCCAGTGATGCACTTTTCTATAGATATAAAATTACAACTTCCAATATAAACATAGATTGTTACTTACACATGCAACACATATCACCTTTTAAAAAGTGCAAGTTAATTATTAAGTATACCAAGCACAATAAAAAATTAATTTCATAGTAACTGTGTGAAATGTTATTCCTTTCTTTGAAAGACAACAAAACTACTCTGAGCTCTAATTCTCTCTGACTGATAGCACTTCTAAGTCTCCTAAAAAAAGATTTTATATAAAGTTTTATTATAAAACAATGCACAGGCACTCTTACTGCTCCAGCTTCTTACAGTGGTTAAAATTTCAGTTTTAGTTCCATATTAATTAAAAAAAATTCAAACAAAAAGGAATCCCAACCCTCCCACATACCCACAAAAACACTCTTCTGCACAGACAGTGATAGACTTCAGGGTTTAAATCCTTTTTTTTTACAATTATCCATTAAAACACTCCCATCTCCTATTACAACTCACACAGACTGGAGTGATAAAGTTCTTACAGCACAGGTCCCAAACCCCTTGCTAGAATCAGAGATATCACAACAGGGGTCTCAAACCTGAAACACATGGCTCTCACTGAAATAATAGCTAGAAATTACTCCACATCTCTACTTAGGAAAAATTCAGTCTCTGGTTATCTACTTAAGAACACAAAACTCACCTGTCACCTTGATTATTTCTATTAGCTAGTTTACGAGCCTGACGATCCATCAAACTTGTCCTAGAGCGAGTTTTTTTCCAAGAATAGTAATATTTTACAAGGCTTGCAATGGTCTTGTCTGGGAGCTAGAAGAATTAATCAACAGATTAACACTCTCAAAATTTAAAATTCCACCCAGATTTCTAATTCTGCTCTGTTTATAGCCATCTTTTAACAATACTTTAAATGCATTGATAAGATTGAAGTGAGGGATGTATTTCATATTTTTAAAAAAGGGGAGAAGGCTTCTTTTCATTAGAGTTAAAAAGCTATATATCCAAGAGACATGAGGAAAATAAATGAAATCTTATATTCAAGGCTCTTCCTGAAGCTTTTACACAGAAATCAACATGAAATTTTAGCCCAACAGGAGCCTTTGTTCTTAATGCATCTGAGCTGTTTAATGCTTCTGATTGAAATATTACTTTACCATTTGCTGGATCCTGTGAAAGCTCTTTCCATGGAAGCTAAATGCTTGTTCAAATAGGACTTTATCTTCAACTGTCCATTCATCAGGGAAAGGAGTGAAGTTAGGGAGATCCGCAAGGGACTTCTCAATATTGTGTTTATGCCAGAACAACATGCCGAGAGCCTTTGAAAAGAAATAGTCCCTCTTTGGATTTAGTCAATTTTCTAAAACGTTGAGACAAGTTAAATAAAAACAGGCAATTTATTTGTTTGAAATTAAATTTGACTATCAGAATCCCTTCTCAAAATGTATTTACAATTTTATTGGCTATTTACTATTGGTTACAAAATTCTCTTTGGAGACAGCGGGCACATCTATACTTTATTAATGGTATGAAAGCCAGACAATTTAAGGTTGGCTTGGCAGCAGTAATTCTAGAGCAGCACAAGCTAGGCTGAGGGGCTCAAATCTGACCTGCTTTCTTACTTTACAGGCATATATCACCTACACAGTTCCTTACAGGCCTTTATTACCAGCCCACTCAAAAAAGAAAACAAAAATACTTTTCAGTAGCCAAAGGACCATCCAAAATGCAAGTCTGAAAGTTCAAAGTGAGAGTGGTCTTTCTACAACTCTTCAGTTCACAAATAACAGCACGGCCACTTCGTCATGTGAACCTAATAAGGAATGGAAATTTAAGTATACTTTCTTATACAATTTCATTTCTCGGTATTCTTAAAGAATTTTATGTTCATTAGACTTTCTGCCAGAGAATCACTGGCAGATTTGATGCCAAGATTCGGGCATGGGAATTGGGCAATGTAACCCACTTGGTTTCAATCATACAGTACAGGCAGACAATTGCCAGGTGTCTCTCCAACCCCCTGATTTCACATCTTCTGACAATCTGGACACAGCAAACCTCTGCTCTTGTTAAAACGGCAAGTGACAAGCACCTCTTGCAAAGAGAATTTCAATTCCACTGCAAGAAGTCTACAAATGTTTTGTACCAGAAGTTATTTTAGAAATCCATCTCTAGGAGACTTGAGAGCCATCAGTTCCTCCTCTTGCCTAACAGAAGTCAAGGCATAAAGAAGCAACACCAAACCACAGGTATATTCCGGACATTGTAACACTGGCAGCCTCTTTGTCAGACAGCAGCTGATAAGCAAGCTTCCATCCTCCAATACTTGATCATACAACTTCTTTTCAATTGTACAGCAAATATTTTTCTGCAATATGTAAACTCACTTTTACATAGATTGGTTAATTTATAAAGAAATTTGATATAGAACTACATGCAGACCAGCAAAGTTTTATGCTTACTTTTTAAGGAATGGTGACCAAAGGTTGTTAAACAAAAAGTGAACTTATTTGTTACCTTCAGAGCTAAAATTTGAGTCTTTTCTCCTGCCTCTGAAAAAAACCACTCAATTTAGGCTAGTTTGCTTTTTTTTCCAATATGAAATAAACCTTTGCAGTGCCATCCCTACCAATTAATGGTTCAAAATTGTATTTGCATTCTAATGTTTAACTTTAAATTTGTAAGCTGTTTCCCTACAAAACTCTTTAGCTAAATAAACACACACAATTGCATGACATGCCCAGTGTATCAAGAAACATACCAAACCTTTCAAAAGTGCACATTACAAGCTGAGCATGTCATGAAAACAAAGAGCTCAATCTTTTGCAGAGAATCCAGACCACAACTGTATGCAGATCCATTTAACTGCAGTGTTTGCTGCCGTGCCTGAAGAGAAACAGCGTTAATTAATGGTAATCAAGGGGAAAAATAAAAGAGTTGTGTTATAGTTTTATATTAAAAAAAAAATCCTTTAAATGAGCACTCTCATTCCACAGCACTTACCTGTTCCACATTGTATCCATGTTTTTCCTTTGCTATTGCTATATATTCATCCACTGTAACAAAGCAATGTCAGAATTATTCTTTAATACTTTTAGCTCTGCTCTATGACAGAATTAGCCATCTAACATGGGAAAAGAGTCTCTCCATGCTTTAACACACTGCATAGGCCCAGGTCCCCCAAAATGTTAAATATACTCACAGCTTTATTAATAATAAATAAACCCACTAACCATTAGTGAACATTTAATTTTATAAGCTTTTTACACAAGCTAATTCTGCTTTCTTTCACATTTTTACTACAACAAAACCACAGATACTCATAATTTATTTATTTAAAGCAGAAACTAGCTGGTTATTAAAAGGCTATGCCTTTTTGGAATCCCTTCCTGGGTTAGTTTTAAATTGAACTACTTCTACTGCTCTTATTCCCAAACATGTTGAAAACTAAAGCAAGGAGATCCTACATCAATGATTATGCATATTCTCAAGATTACTATAGCTTTCACTGACCAACAGGGATTTTAACTATGACACAAAGTCAGTTTTCAACAGAAAGCATGAAAACTCAATTAGATAATGAAATTAAGGAATAACATTTTAAAAATCATATTTAGCAATAATAGAACCAGCTTAGAGTTAAACACTTTTCCTAATTTTGAAATTGTCTTATTTATTTTTAAATGAAAACCTCTTCCTATTCACCTTCTAGAGCTCAAAATTAGGTGGCAACTAAATAGTTGAAAGGAAGTATGATCAAGAAAAGGAAATAATCATATCCACCTTATTCAAATGGACAATGGATATCCTTGCCATGCACTGTTGCAGCAAATAGTTAATTATACTTCAAAGGAATGAAAAAGGTGTTTAATAATCACAGTTGTATTTTATTTCTAACTGTTCTGCAGTAGCTGAAGGTGCCATTCCCTCAAATGTAGAGGGACACAAATCTCTAACTACTGGTATTAGATAGAAACTGTCCAGGGGATGAGGTTCTCATGGCTGCATCCTCAAAGTTTACTCCCCTATTATAGTTGGGAACTTCTAGCACAGGATTAAACTAGATTAAACAGATAATTGATCACATTTTGTCAGATTACTCCCGTATCTCAGGTCACTTCTAAAGGGAAAAAATGTTTGCTTTCTCCTTCTGTGACAGCAGTAATAATTTTCCCTTGAAGTAGGCCTCAACAAATCTTTTCTAAATTCATCCACTGCAACTCCTTCTCCTAGAAATTTAAAGCAGTAAGTTCCTCGTGTTCAGATATTTTATTCTTTAATTAATAACAAAAGGTTACACAAGCAATGATGATGATAATACAGAATAGGCAGTATGACTTGAAACAAAGACTTTACTAATATAAGAGAAGGTCATCTTTCCTTTACCTGGAGTTCTCTAAATAAAGAAAAAGAGAAGCTTTGTGTTTAATTATTTGCAGTTTCACTGTGCATAAAATAAAGAGCAAACAGGCACACCAGAAACATTTAGTTTACTTAAGCACACAAATTCCTAAGCAGGCAAGGACTTACACTTGGCATCGGGAATATTATGATATGGAGACCATACAAGCATTCCTCCATTATCTTTATCAGTGTATTTTGTGGCACCTGTAAGAAAACAAGTAACTCTCAGTATTTATTTAATAATTATGATCTAGAGAACAACTATGTGACAGTTAGCAAAAGCCAACCACAGCAAGAAGTCCAGCTACTAAGGAGAGGGGAAAAAAAAAAAAAATTTATTCAAAATTATTTCCTTAAGACATCAAAAGACTGAATCTGAGCACTATTCTTAGGATGTTCAACTAAATATTAGACAGTATCCTGGTTACCACAATTAAATCACTTAAGCGCACTTCTTAAGTTGGAAGGAATCCTATCTAGTTTGGTAGTACTATCCTAACTAGTAGCTAGTATCTAACCCCCTTGCCATGTGCAGGGACACCTTCCACTAGACCAGGCTGCTCAGAGCTCCATCCAGCCTGGCTTTGAACACTTCCAGGGATGGGGCATCCACAGCTTCTCTGGGCAGCCTGTGCCAGTGCCTCACCACCCCATAGCAAGGAATTGCTTTCTCATATCTAAATCCACCCCCTATAAAGTTGGTAAGGATGCAACTTTGTTCTCCTGAAGTTTGATTGTCCATTAGTACTCTAACATTTATCACTATCATAGGACTACTAGGACCTACTGTGGTCATTTAGGCTTTCTTCAAACAAACAAACAAAAATAGATAAGAGCTAGAATTCAGTCACTACCACTGATCCCTTTCAGCAAGAAATTGTACTAACAGCTATGCCAGAAACCATTCTGTTCATCTCTCTCTAGATTTTTCTAATTTTGTAATTTTGGTATTCATAGCCAAGCAAATTGCACAGCAGTTAGATGTATAAGTAACTTCTGGTTTTAGTTTATCTCCACTTCAATGTAGCAAGGGAAGCAGTACAAATTATCCAACCCATCAGGACAGAGTAATACCGATGTAAACACTGAAGCATTAAATCAGAGCATATGATTTTTTAAAACATGCTGTAAAAGAAAACTCCCCGATACTGTAAAAGCATTAATTCAGTCACTTTCCATTACTATTTCACAAACGTAGTCTAAAACATAAGGCCCCTTACAATCTATTTGTTTTCAAGTTTCTCTAGCTAAGAAATTGCTCAACAATTGGATTTATATCTAATGTCAGTATGAATTCCCTGAGTAATCACCCTCAGAGGAACTTTCTTTGCATCCTTCTTGGAGAAGAAAAGCTTTTTTTGTTCAGTGAAACAAGTAACTTTTCAATCCATTTTAAGCTTACACACTTTATACTTAGGCTCTAAATCTTGTTTGAAACAAACAAAAAAACCAAATACAATGCTTTGGAAAAAAAGAACAGTATAGTGCTTTCCCTTTATGTACAATGTTTTCTTGCTCTTCCCTCTTCAGTTTGGCAGCGTTTTGTATTTGCTATCATCTCTGCAATCTTGATCCATCACAACTGTGAACTTGAAAACAGTTAATTAGAAAACCTAAAAATTCCTGTACCTCTCCAAAATGAGATGTGAAAGGCAGATAACCTCAATGCAGCATAAACTCCGTAACAGGTTAAGAATGTACATATACTCATAAAGCACCCGTTCCAAGGCATAAGAGCTACTAAACTCGGAAAGGTTTTTGGTATACAAGAACAAACTCCTTAATGTAACATTCCACTTTAGCACCAAAAAGCATGACATTTTTAGTCATTAGGAATGCAATACTTCATGAAGAGCAAGGCATGTTACAGGCACAACATTTGTCTTGTACACTGTGCTTTTATCACAAGTAAATGACCACTATCCTGCACTTCATTCTAACTAAAGATGAGGAGAAAGAAGGATCACCAGAGAATATATTAGAATCTCAGGTTATGAGGAAAAATGTCTAAACTTAAGATACCTGCAGACAATTGGATATCATGGATGTTATCAGGTAGTGAATACTCAAATACTAAAGTGAAAAAAAAAAAAATTAGTTTCAGAGTTCTTGTGCCTGCAGGAGACCATGTATGTGGTCACACTACCCTACTGAGGTGCCACCCTCACACGATAAACAAGCAACAACCATCAGAACCTCCCTTTTCAAAGCAGTGCTGTGTCCCCAGCAGGAATCAGACATCTGCTTCCATTCAGGTGTGACCTACCTTCCTGAGAACTTGCTGCCTGTCCTTTGTACCCCAAGCACTCAAGCAAACAGCCCTAACCTCCAGAGTGGCTGTGTTACACCTCAAGGCATACAAGGGAGGGGGGCTGGAAATACCCTGCAACACGATAACCAGTGTGTTAGAAGAGTTGTAAGCCAGTAAGGAAGAGAAGGACCAAGAGCTACATCTGAAGAATAACAAGTCTCCCTCTTCCCAAAATACACCTCGAAGCCACTGAGGAAGAGGTTTCAGTACTTCAGCTGCTGCACCCCTCTGCCAGTAGCAGTCAGGAAATGCAGCCAGCTGAAGATGACCAACAGGCACTCTGCACCACTTCCAGAACAGGGAAATCACAGCAGCAAACTGACCCTCTCTAAATTGCAGCTTCACGTTGGAAGTTAGGTACACATGGCTGGTACAGCTCTATACAGGATCCCAGGTACTGAAAATGAAGTGATCATCCAGGTGCATACAAGGCACAGTGAGGACACTGTGGGGCAGCGTGGCTATATAAAAGTATGTTGGTTTCCAGCACAAAATGTACTTTCCTCTGCTTAAGACTAAGCCTTCCCACACCATTTAACAATTTCAATTTTACAGAGCCTCTTTTCCTATTAGAAGACTGAAGAGAGAAAAGTTAAAAACATACAGAGAAATGAGTTCCTAAGTGACCTTAAATGGTATAAAATATTCTTCTTGATAGCCCCAACTCCATCCCTGAAGAGAGGGTAAATGGAAAATTAAGTATTTCAGCATTAAGAAAGAAAAATTCATAGTAAAACCATTGTGAAGTCTAAATCTGAATAGAATAAAACTTCTCTAGCAGTTATCTGTGGACGACATGACAGGGTGGTGCATTCTGTACCATGATTTTCAAAAGAATGTAAACAACCCACAATATAAGGATATCAGTTTTGTATCCTGCTGGATTTCTAGGTGGGCCAGAAAGTACAAGCAGAAAAATTTTCACCAAAAATATATAATACTATAGGAAAACCAGGAGGAGGAGACAAAAATTTGGAGTGCAAGAGATGGTATGTTAACTCAGTAAATTAGATAAAGTAAAAATCCCAAGTTTCCTTAGTAAAATTGTTTCTTACAGTGACAAAATCACTCTCATCACTGTAATATTTGGTGACAATTAAAAACACTACTTCCCTTAAGCTCTATCTGAAAGTTTGCTTGTAAAAAGAATACGGTGTGGAGAGGGGTAAGAGAGTATATTTAAATTAGCTTTTCATAATTGTTGCTTCCAACCACAACCCACTTAGAAACAGTTGCACTTTTTCTTTAAAAAAATAATCTTGTTTTATACATAAACTAAGTTTACAAAAAAAATGTTTACTGCCATCACATTAATCATGAATATTTTGTTCCTCAGTGTATTGTTGTAGAGCATTGCTTATGGCTATTTTTCAAGTCAGGCTAAGTGAAACCCAAGGACTGGTATTATTCCACTCAGTATTCTGTGGGTTTATCAGGGCTGACTTTGTGTCTTAAAGTTATGCCTACTTTCATCCATCATTGATTCTCTTCTCCCACCTATTTATTTCAAGGGGCTTAAAAAATAGCACTCAAGAGTACTGTGAATAAACACACACTCTAAAGTATCTGATAAGCCCTCAAAAAAGAGCATTAGAACAATTCCAAGAAGAAACATAATTAAAGATAATCAAATATAGTGCCATATCCATATATGCAACCTTGAACTAAAAAGGAGATTATTACCTTGCTACAAAAAAGTAAACAAAATGTAGCTGTAAGAGCAAGGATTTTTGTCTCTCGTCACTTGTCTCTAAGAAATTATGCCTCAAAACTCATCAGAAAAAATAAACAAACCTCAACCAAAAAAACAAAGAGATGAAAGAATGAGATCTTGCTGGTATCTCTTCAGATAACCAATCTGTTAACTTGGTAAGTGCCATACTTTTAACTTGATGGACTTTTTAATTTATCTTGTAAGACTTAGGTGTTCAAAAAAAATCAGGACCTTCTCGCCCTAATAAGCAAAATACACACACCAAGAAGGATAATACCTCATAATAAAACATTAAGCCTCTAACTCAGGAGTTATTAAAGAAACATTTCTATTATTAAGGAAACTGATAGGGTGAGTATATTTTAATCCCAATTATTGGGGAAAGAGGCATTAATTGAATACCATCCCCCAGAAACACAAGCTCTAAAAAGCCTTGTTATATGAGAGCATAAAATTAGTTCTGTAGTTACTAATGTAATGGTACTATTGCATATACAGTTTACAAAATTAAAACCACAGAACCTCAATTGTCCTACAAGGGCTGAAGAGTACTTTTAATCAAAAGAAAAACAAATACTAGGTGTTTTTCTACTTCAAGTGGCCTGTAGGAAAAGCAAACCCAGGCTGCAGGTTAGAAACCATCATTTTTATCTGTGTATAATTTTTATGTAGGCAATGTAAAAATAAAAGGCGAAGACAATTAGCCTTATTAACAAAGAGACCTAGACTGCGTGCTCTTTCCTAGGGGAAAGGCATTCTCTTAAGGCAAGATCACGCATCCATTTAATCCCACCCTCGCGCTTTCCTTCCCCCAGCGTTTTCTTTGGCCGGTGGGGACTTGAGCCCATCCAGAGGGGCTCGCTCCAGCCTCGGGAGGCACCGTGAGAGCAATCCTCTTCCGGTAAGAAATCATCTGCTACTGCCTGGAGAGCAGGAAAGTACACAGGCTTCATCTGACCACTACAGCAGAGCTGCTGAACGCTCCTGTGGTCTCCCTGCTCTGTGTAGTAAGGCACGGCAGCATTCTAGCAATTAACTTGCTAAAGCTGAGTACCAGGCTATGCGAGCGTACCCATATTCCTCGGGGCGGGGCTGGGGGGGCGAGGAAGGCGGAGGAGA